TATTATTCCTAACTCATAAAGAAATTGAAACACTCTACTTATTCTACCATATAAGTGTTATCTAAATAATCAGAAATATATTAGCATTAACCTTCTAAAAGTAGATATGAATTTCCACACTCCAAACATTTTCCAAATTAGCATACTCTACAATTTTAAGAGCAGGAGTATTTGCATTAGTGACATCCATCATAAGCTAATAAATTACCGTCATCACATTCCTCATCATAAGTGATGATAGCATCTCCACATTAAGGAATACAAGATTTTATTTATTCTAAAAATTACCATCCAATAAAACAACCATAACAAATTCCTTTAATACAATTTTCGCAACCTTAAATACAATCATAATTATTTTAAAAACAACCATCAAAAGGAACTATATTTTTATCCATGCACCCTTCATTACTAAGAAATAATTAAAAATCTCTCATTCCTAAATATGTCGGCATATTGTTATGTAATTTAAGTAAATCAACTTTTATATCAATTCTTAACCTTTAACCTTGATGTTAAAATAAAAATAGATTAATCTCCTACATAGACATCTCATCACAAATATTTTCGACTAATTTTAGCTATTCGTAAACATAATCAATTGTAAGTATTGTGAATAATGATATACAAACAAAAATGCTATTATTAAATCTACTTAACTCTCATCAATATAAATATGAATTTTAGTTGATTAAGAATTAAAAATAATTCTAGAAAATAATTGATGAATGTTAGTATCCCAAAAGAGAAATCAAATATTTTTTTGTTGAATTTTGTGTAGCAACAGAGACCCTGACTCATAATTTAAATAGTATAACATGGCAGAGACAGCGTCTGCTTCAAGGTCTTATATCTTGAATCCAATCCCCAAAATAAAGATAATCTTAATTTTCAATCTAAAATAAATATATATATATAAATATTACTTATGCTTTTAATATATATATATGATTATACAAAATTGGTATTTGAATTATGAATTTCCAATTTCTTTAAGTAAAGATATTTTTTAGAAATAAATAATATGATATTAAACTCATAAATTTTATTCTTTTAACTCAACAAAATTAATTTATCCAATTTATGTAGATTATTTCCTATTCAATGGAATCTAATTTTATGTGTTATTCCTCAAACAATATTGGGATTATTCAAAGATTACTCCTAATTTTTAGCAGTTTTATTTTTTACTTGAAAATAAAGGCCTGAATAAATCCTTATTATAATACAACAAATGACTATTATATTTAAAAAAAATAAAACAATATTGATAAGACTTGAAATTGCAATCACTTTCAGACTAAAACAACATTCTTTACAAAAGATTAAGAAGTTGATATATTTATAAATAATTATTTCTAAATTTAATACTTTTATATGATATCTATACTTCGAGATTATATCTGAAGTTTATATTTTTTAAATTTGGAAAAAATATATTTAAAATTAAATAAGACTTCAAATATTCTGATAAAATATTCTAAATCTAATAAATAAAATTAATCAGATATTAAATGTTAATGAGATATTTTAATTTGTAGTAATAATGAGAAATAGATATTAATTTATAAACTGCAATATTATTTATATATCCAAATATCTATTATAGGATATTAAGTATAATGATTTTTTTATTGTATTTTCTTAAAATATTTATTTCAATTATTATTAAAACTTATTAGTTTTTTTAAATGTGCTTGATTGTGTTTATATTTCTTTATTTCTCTTTCTATAGTTTCTTATAGAATTATTAGCTAACAACAATCAAAAGCTTAAATAATTAATTAAATAATTCCACAAACAATTCCACCTACTTCAGATATATTTTAAACCTATTCAGCTGAGATTTCTAATATCGGCATAAGTTGTTATAATTAATTCTATGTTATTTAACTAATTGTAATTGATTCTAACTTAATAATTATTTTAAAAGGATTTGATAAGAATTCTTTTATTTTATTCCAACTATTTTCTGAATCCTTAATTTAAAAATTTAATAATATCATTAAATATTAAAAGATCTTTTATACTACTTAAGGTGGATTATTATCTTCCATAATTTCTCTAAACTTATATGGATTTTTGAGAAAGCTGATTAATAATTTTATATCTTAGACTATACTCTTAAATTCATCTTCTTATTCTTAATAATTTTCTTGGCTTTTTACCTAATCATACAATTAAGATTCAAAATCTTATATTTTAGAACTTATTGATTATAGCTTTAATTTATAAATATACTAAATTCTCTGATTCATGAATCTATTAATCAATTGCAATTATAAATATTAATCAAATGTTAAAAATTAAATAATTTGATAGACAATTTCTGGTAATAGTTTTTCAAATTTAGAAATTGAATTTTTATTTAATTTATAGATACATTATCTTATTTTTGATTTAGCTCAGGAATAATGTTATTAGTTATCTTTAATTCCGGAATTGATTTATTAGTTCTAAGCACAGTCTTTAGTTAAAATTACCCTTTGTATTTATTTTGCATTTTTAAAATAATAATAGAATTTATATTTCATAATATTATCACTTGAATTATTATTTATTTGTATTCTCATAAATAAAATATAGCATATAATAATAAACACTGAAGGTTCTGGAAACTATGGTTAAATGGTTATGTCATCTGACAAAAGGTTTGGACCTTTAAGTTATAAATATTACATAGGAATATGTAATTGCTATAGCCAAAACTGGGCCTCATTGTAAAATATATATTGTATTTTAATTAAAAGGGTCTTTATTTGCTATTACATTGATAGGTTTAACTAGAATTTTCTATATAATGATGAAATAATGAAAAGTTTCAGGTCATGATATCACTTTTGGAATAATTATCACAATAGTATAATAATATTTTATTTTGGTGTTGAATTGAATAATGTTAACATTGCAAATTACAAGTCTTTTGAATGAGAAATATCTTGGATAGTTCTGCTCTTTTACTAGATATGCCTTGATAAAGAAATTTATGGCGTTGTGAAAAATATTAAAAAAACTTAAACGGATCAATCTGATCATCATTCATCTTGTAAAATAAGTATTACAAGTTATCATCATCATCCTTTGACAGGAAATGCATCGGAAATGATAATCAATTTCATTTTTTGGTTTTCTTAACAATTATTTTCTTCCTTTATTTTGTCACAATATTGCAAAGAAGAAGTACAAAAATTATGATTAAGCTTATTATTCATAATCAATGAACTTTTTTTTTTAAAATTATATTATTACAAATTGTAATAAATATCGATATTACAATCCTAAAAAAGAAGATTGACAATTATTATTCGGCTTGTCCTTTTTTAAACATTAACTTTCTGGTGTTAAAGTATTTACAAGAATTTCATTATGAAAAGTTTACACTGCTTGAATACTCTCATTTATTGAATAAATTTAATGTAACTATTTAATTACCATACTATCATATAATCTTCCTATTCTACATTATCCTGCATCTCATACAACCAAAGGCTTAACTCATTAGTCCTTTCTAAGTAGGAGTTTTAACCTAATTCGAAAAACTTAATTTAAGTTGCACAAACTTCCCCTCTATTTTACTTAGTTTGCACTTACATATCCATCCTAATATTTAATGTTTTCTTATACTCCTCATATACCTACCCAGATTAGTCTTTAAGGCTACTCTTTCAAATATATTTACCAAAGATACATTTCTATTGGAAGACTTTTCTTATGATTTCTGATTAAAATTGGTGCTTTTTTAATGATGTAGTATTATTATTTAATATTCATTTTAATGATATAAATCTTTTTTTTAAATTAGGATTTAATTTTCTCTTCCAAATCTTTTAGTAATTCTTTTTATTAATTTGATCTATTTGGAAATGTCATTTTACTCTAGGAAGTTAATATCATATTAAATAATTCTACTCCTTATCCAGCAAAAATCGTATGCATAGCAATTATCCAAGGATTTTTACTTCCTATGTTTTATAATTTTTTGCAAAAAATTGAAAAACAAGAATTTTTATTTTCTTGTGTTAGGTCAAAAATAAATTTAGAGTTCAAAAGTTAAAAGTCGATGTTATCAATCTATATATTCATATCATGCCATTAATTATTGTTTCAAGAACTATAAAATGGAATATTTTATAACAAAACGAAGACTAAGCATCTCTTTTATTATCAAATTAATTTATTTTTATCACGAGATAATAAGACAGTTAATCCTTAGAAACAGTAGGTACTTTTATGTATGTTCTATTATATACTTAGAATATCCCAAAAACTATATTAGAAGAGGGCCTAAATATTCTTTTTATTAAGCTTATGTATTTGTTTGAGCACTCTTTAAAAGTTGTTATTAGCTATCATCAATAAAATTCATTTAATTCATCATTAAGATTTATACATCTTTTTAAATATCTAAATTGGAGCAAATCATGATTCAACTCAAAATTTAATATTAATATCAAAAAATTAAACAAAATTTGTATCTTATATTATTTATGAATTATAAAGTTAATCAAACTCCTAGATAAACTTTATTCTAATTTACTGTAATCTCTAAATTTTATAAATTTAAATTGAAAACTTGAATTTTTATTCTTATTTTTAAATTAAAAAAATAAGCAATATAAATTATGTTCAATTATTGAAAAAAACCCAATCATAATAAAGGATTCTTGTTAAAATATGAAGACTTCATTTGTTTATTTTATAGATTAGAATACATTTTTAATGGATTATAATAGAGTATAATTTGGCTATATGATAAATTTTAGAAAATGAAAAACTTAAGATGAAACATAAATTATGTTAGAATAATAATAATAAAGTGTATATTAAAGTTTATTAGTGAATATGAACATATATTAAAGGGAAAATATTGAAATGATTTTATTAATTTAAAACTATTCAATAAGACAATTGGAATTTGATTTTAATAATGAAATAAAATATTGAAGTAGGTTATGCCTTTTCTAATAGAGTTAAATGTCATTTTTAAAACATAATTAAAGATGATATCAGGATAGGCCATGTATTAACTAGACAACCTGGTTTAAGTTTTGAAAAGAAATTATGGTATCATTTGAATTCTCTTTATTCAATAAAGATAGATAGAAATTAAGATTTAGATATACTTAATATTCATGGATTAAAGGAAGAAGATTAGAAGAAAGTAAGAAAGAAAGTTGATTAGATAAGGAAATTTTGTATCTAAAAAAGTATATATAATAGATAAATGTTGTTTTAAAGGATTAAAAGGAAGTGAAATATTTGCCAAAACAGGAAAACTATTAGAATTATGTAAAAATTTAAAGAGACTTACAATAAATTCAAAAAAAAAACAATGTTAATAAGCAATGTTTTTTTGAACCAATAGATTCGCCTGATGAATAACGGCGAAGATTACACCACCATTAATTATAAATTTAAAGATTATATATTTAGAATTTATATTTTT